CGTATTGTTCTCAGACAACTCAAGATTCACCCAATTTTCAGACAGTGGAAGGATATGGGTCTGGAGAATGCCTCACCAAGAGTTTTGGTTCAACAGATTGCAGCCAACTGTGAAGCATGGTGGTTTCAGCGTGATGGTTTGGGGAGCTGTTTGGGTTGGTGGGAGATTGAGCTTAGTGGAGTGCATTGGCAATATAAATTTTGCGAAATACGTCGAAATATTGGAGGAAAGACTCTTGCCACTTTATTCCTCTGGTTTCGTGGACAAGAACACAACGTTGTTCCAGGAAGATGGAGCACCGTGTCATACTGCTAGAAACACCCAGAAGTGGCAGGAAGAAAATGGTATCCAGAAGTTGCCCTGGCCGAGCCAATCTCCTGACATGAATCCCATCGAAAACCTCTGGGCCATACTTGACCTGCAAGTCAAGAAACAACCAAAAAAACCAACTTCGAACAGCGATCTACTCCAAGTTTTGCAGCAAGAGTGGGCAAAAATCCTACAATCTAAAATTGACGAGATGATTCTCACGATGCCCCAAAGGATCAACGAACTCATTGAAGCGAAAGGAAGATCTACTAGATATTAATTAAATTATAAATATATCAATTCATGTGAATATGACTGAAAAATTTCATTTTTTCTGAAAAGGTGGTGTCTATTTACTTGTGACCACACTGTGTACATATCCATTTATATCACAAACCCGCAATCACACACAGAGTAAGAAGCATTTAAGTTAACACAGTGATATTATTACTTTGCTTCTGTCTACAGTAGGAGCCTGGTCAAATTTGACTGCCAACTCCAGAAAGAATATATAACAATAACATTTACAAAAAGCTTTAAACAGTTTTACATATATTTTTGTATTAAATACCATTTTAATTCATTTCAGCATTATTTGAAACTTGATTTCTTAGTTCTTGTGTGGAGTATTCTACATCCTGTGTTATAAAATCATAATGAGTAAATGTTGAAAATTATGATACAAGAACTAGTGTATGAGAAGAGTTTAGATGCAAAATAAATACAGCATACACCGTACCTAACAGAATTGAGCTGCCAATGGCATGGTATTTATTTTGTTCACTGTTAAATAAAGCATAATCTTATATTCTACTTTTTTTGTGTATTGTGTAAGACAGGCAGTGGGCAAGTAGATGTTTTTAAAAAGAAAGAACACATTTTTCTAGCATTTCCTACCTTACACAAGAATATTTTTCAAAAAGTCCACACTCCTGATTTGTTTTGAACCATTATTTTGATCAGGCTAAATCCTACTGATAACCAGTAGTTTTTAATGTATTAGTATATTTTTGAAATTTTAAAAAAGAACAGCTGTAAGAGTTAAATAGATTTGTTGAAATGGAAATATTATAGTGAGAGGCTTTTTCTTGGTTGATAAAATTATCATTATTTTCTCAACTGTAGATCTGAAAGTTTTGATGCATGTTTTTCTACCCAATATTTTGACTTTGTTTGGCCATTATTGTTGCCATGGCAATTTCATTTGTCTTCTAAAATAAGCATTTACGTTTCAAGAAAGCTCTTAAAGTTCAGAAGAACACTTACTTTGGATTAAAAACTGATTTTGTTTGCTTAATTGTACTGTTAATCACTCTTCTTAAGATTCATTATAATTTTAAAATCAATCCAGAATTGGCCAAGGTCCTTGAGAATACTTGCTTTTAACTAGAACTTAACAATTAAAAATTATAAACTGATTTGGGTAATATTATCTCAAATAAAACATTATTTTTGTGTAGTCTAGATATGAACATTCCTGCTCTGAACTTTTTATAATTATTTTTTTAAATTTTGTTTATATTTCTCAGACTCTTCATGGTTATACAGTAACTACTTTCTATATGATGAATGAGGTTTATCATATATTTTGCTGTTAAAACAAATTACCTTAATTTTTTTAAAGACTTAATCACTTAATTGTGAATTTAAAAATTGCTCTAAGACTTTTTTGTCAGAATCATCCTGATATTAATATGCTTTTAGAAACAACTTTACATCTTATTCTTAGTTTCTCAGAATCATGCTTTTCTTGAAATTATGAAATATAATTCCCCACATATCCATTCTACTAAAATATATTCTAAATTGATAATTTGGAAAATATTGTTGGACTTCGGTATAGTTTTCAGCACATTTTCTCACCATAGTTATGCTTTTGTCTGATTTATAAGTTAACTTACTATTCTTTTTATCTTAATTTCAGACATGTCGTCTTTGCATCATTCTACTTCTATCTTAGGTTGTATTTTTTTTTCAGTTTCAAATGTGATTGCTTAGAATTATTCTGTAAACAAACTTTCTCATACTTATTTAATTACATTGTAAAAATAACTTTCTGTTCATTTGGTTTTATATTGTTTCATCACAGATATTATTTTCTTATTGACTTTAAAAACAACTTTGTGTTATTTTTAAGTCAGCAGCCATTTTTTTCAAAATTATTTTGAAGTAATGTAAATTTAAAACTACACAATAAAAAAGTAGAAAAAATAATATTGCAAAATAAATCCATTCAGTAAGAGTGTAGAAAGCATTTCTATCTATTTTTCTTTTTAGTTGTGTAATTTTATTAATAAATTCCACTCTTAAAAGAGCACTCTCTTTGATTGATAACTTTAAAACTGTTCTAACCTCTTTAATTAGTGCCAACAAGTATCCCAAGAATATTTTATTTGCTGTTAGTTTAAAATAACTTTATTTTAATAATAAACAAGATTATGACACTCATGAAGTACAACATTGTTTATTAACAAAAAGGGGACATAGATAAACATTTCAGAATTCTATCAGATTTCATCTTCAGTATGTAAAGCAAAATAAAATGAATTTACATAAGTCTTTGGACATTGTGGGCTCCTTTCTGCACATTGCCATAATGGTGCCTTCCCACCATTATTGGCATTTTTGGTGAGAAAGGGTCAGGTGTTGCAATTCAAGGTCTTCACCTTTGAACTAACATCGGAACCATATGAGTTATGCTGATTCATACAAGCTTTCTCTCATCACCTCCATTCTCTAGCCCTCTGCACTCACCATTCAATGAATGACTGGTTACTTCTGGCACTATCCTGTCAATTCTTAGAACGTCACACCCAAATTCAACTTTCAGAAACAACCAAGGCAGGCTTCATTTTCAGCTCTGTGACATCTATTCTTGCTTCAACTCAATATATCTTAAGTCTGGTTTGTTTTGGGTTTTTTCATCATGTATCTCTGTATGGCTCAGCCATCTCCCATATGTCTCCATGCTACAGAACAGGAACCCCAACTCTTAGTCACCTCTCCTTCTCCCACTGCATGGATGTTTCTTTCTCTTTTGGGAAGGTGAGCATCACTCGAATCCCTCATGCCTTTGGGATGAATGCAAAAGAGATCCTTTCAGTGGTCTTTATGCAACCAAGGAATCATAAACATTGATTCACTGGATTCCCCAGTTTCCTTATTCAGGATCATTCTTCGATCCCAAGGGGTTGTTAAGTTGAGACAATACTAAGATATGGGTTCCTCTTACACCACCTTGTTCAGAGATCCATCTCTTCACGAATGCCTCACATCAGAGATGGGCTGCATATCCCAACAGTCAGGAATTCCATTGCCTATGCATGGATGACAAGGCTTACCTAGACATGTTTCAGTCCTTCTTGCCCTTCAAAAGGTGATGCCTCATGGTCTGGGCTTATTAAGTGGAAATCTTCAGGTCTCACTGTGGTAGTAGATCAGTTGGCTTGACCCAAATAGATTCTCCCAACAGAGTAGATTCTGCATTGCAAGATTTTCTGTTGGATTGGCACTCATTTTGAAACCCTGGTGATTGGTGGGTTGGCCACTCATTGGAACACCCAACTACTGACAATTACCTCACCTTTGGGCTTTGGCAAAGGATGCTTTCTGTCAGGACAAGATGGGATTACAACTCTAATTTTTCACTGCCCATCTCTGCCGATCATTGAATTGAATAAATCGGGGTCTGTTTGCTTTTAAGAATATAGGTAACTAGGTTCACCTATTACATTGCTTTCAGAGCACTGCTCCTCAGGACTCCTCAATGTGCATTACCCCACCAGATTCTACTAGTGGAGCTATGGAGTCCATACAACATCCAGTTTCAAGTCACTGGGGTGGTGGACAGAGGCTTTTCCTCCAGAGGGTTATAGTGAATTTTCTCCACTCTTGGAGAAGAGGGCATAGTTGAGGGCCCTCCTGACCAGGTCATTGTATGTTTTTCCCAGGTGACGGTAGGTGGAGTATCAGCCTATATGGGAACCTACACGTAATACCAGTTCAGATTTGATACTTGGCTATCTAGTTGGATTGATCATTGTACTTCTTTTTGATCAATATTGTTTCAGTACATTATTCATAGAAAAGGGTCCATTGTTTCCTCCTAATTCTGAACTCAGAGTGGTCCCATCCTAAGTCCTTCATTGAGCACAGTTTGTTCCACATCTTCCCCATAATTCCGGGGGCAAATGGAATTTACCTTGCCCACACAGTTGGAGAGTGAGGATGAGTGTTAATAATTCCAGACCAGATGAGTTGTTTCCTAAGGTTGAGTAAGGCATACAAGATTCCAACATTCTGAGCCTGGGATGTTGCCTTTTAGACTTCTTCAGGTTGAGGAGAAGGTTTGTCCACTTCATTGTCACTTACGTTCTTGTCATGATTCTGGTGGCTTGGAATGCATCACTATAGCTACAGGTTGGAATCCACTCATAAGTATATACATATGTGTGTGTAGTTTTTAGTCCAATTGCCCTTGCCAACAACATGGGATACAGGGACCATGGTCCTTTAATTCTAACCCCTAGTAGTGGAACTTCAGCTATCTAGTTGAGGCCTGGCCTGTAGTGATGATAAATTGGGTAAAATTCCACCCATAATACAGGAATTACATTCCAGATGAAGAGCATACCTGTTCTGGATGTAGTGCTGTTCCTCAACTAGGGTGCCACTCTTCTAATGACTGATGCATGATCTGTGCAGATGCTTTCTATATGGATAACACCCGGACTGATCCTTCCACTTTCACAATGTGGGATTCTAACTATAAGTATGAGAAGGGGTAGGTATGTTTTGGAAATGAACATTTTCTTAAATCGAAAATGTATTTGGATAAGAGATGGTGTTGGATACTGCGGATTGAGTCAGTCTTGAAAAAGTAATAACATTATCTGAATGAGGTGCTTATATACAGTACCAGGATAGAGGGCACATTGAAAATAGGTGGAGAATGTCACAATACAAATATTGCCAAGAGTAATTAAGTGAGGTATAACAGAATAGAGCAAGTGAGAAACAATCAGACCAGTGCTTAGATGGGCAAAGAAAGAAACCCTGGCAGTCAAATAATATCTGTAGTGTGAGCAGAAGTATTATTGGAAATATATTTGGTTTAAGAAAATGTTAATGTAACATTGCTCTGCAGTAAATTTAAATTTCATATGTAATTATCATATTTGTGATGGTGATGTTAAACATTTTTATGAGAATTATTATAACTGTTGATAAATAACTTATCTTTAGCAGTGTAGTGTCAAGTCTTGCTTTATTTGGTTTATCAATCTTTCTTCAAAATCAATGACATTTAAAAAACTTGCTGTCTTCCTCAGCTAAAATTGGATGCACATACTTAAAATTAATGGCCAATTACTGTTATTTAAAATATACATTTTTGTTCTTTTCAGTTTAATATCAGCCTCTTTTCCTCATAATCATTTCACACACATCTTTATTGATGAAGCTGGTCATGCCATGGAACCAGAGGCTATAATTCCTGTTGCTGGGTTGTTGAACCATGAGAACAATAAGAGTCCTGGAAGTCAGCTCATTCTTGCTGGTGATCCAAAGCAGTTGGGACCAGTTGTTCGCAATGTGATTGCTTTAAAAGGAGGGTTAGGTATGACTAAAAGCTTTACAATTTTTCCTTGTTTGTAGCTTATCAGCCTTTCCAAAAACAGAGGCCTATTTTAATCAAGCAGTTTCCCCATTTGTAGGTTACAAATTTCTTCATATTCTGGAAAGTAATAATATTAGCAAAACTTAATGCTCTGAATAGTGGAAATGTACATTGTCAGAAGTAGTAGTATTAACAAAGTTACATATTCTGATGAGTGGAAGCGTACATTGTGGGAATTTAGTAGTAATAGAAGAAGGAAATGTTCTGATGAGTGGAAGTGTATATTATCAGAGTAGCAGTATTAGCAAATTAGAATGTTCTAATGATTGAAAGTGTATTTTAGATCTGTTTGAATCTCTATATGTGTACAATATATTATTAGACTTAACTTTCAGTAAAACATGTTTCACATTTTATTTTGCAGCTACAATTTTAAACTTTTTCTTAGTGTCGTCATCTGCTGGATATCGACTAAAACACTTCTGAGT